TGGCAGGAGCCAGGCAGGCGACAAACAGACAGAGATACAGACAGTAGACTAAGCGAGCGAGTGATAGGTAACAACAAGCAAGAAGCTGCTGCCGCTGCTGCTGCACTGCCCGTAGTAGTAGTTGTGGTCGAAGTAGTGAAATTGAGGCCACCCCACCAGCCAGCGGGCAGCTGACCGACACGACGGTAGCGCTAGTAATGGTACCTGGTTGTGGTGCTGCTTCGTTTGTTCGCCGTTGTTGGGTCGGGTTCGTGCTGCCGCCGCTGGTGCCGCTGCTGGTGCTGTGGGCTGATCGGTGCTGGTGAGTGGAAGCAGCGAACGATTATTGGAGTGTGCTCTTGCTGCTGCCAGCGGCTCTACCATACAACGGTAGAAGCTGCGTTTGCAGGGCGCAGGTGGACGAACCGTCGTTGTGGGTGGTGGTGGTGGTGATGGTGGTGGTGGTGGTGGTGGTGGTGGTGGTGCTGCTGCTGCTGCTGCTGCTGTTGTTGTTGTTGTTGTTATTGTTGTTATTGACGAGAAACTCGCCGACGACTGTAGGCGGTGGCAGCACTGGAAAAAAGGACAATAGCAACAAGCGAGCAAAACACTTAACAGATTAAGGATCAAAGACCACCGAGACGAAGACTGGCCGCTGGATCTCGGAACATCGAACGACAAAACGGGTAGAGATAACGAAAAACGACGGAAGCAGAACACGGTAACGGACGGTGCGACACCGCCAGTGAGATTGTTTTCGACGAATATTCAAGCAGGAAACAAACAAATAGAGAAGCCGAGATCTCGAAATAAGAGAAAGATGAGAAGGAAAATAAGGAGAAGCTAAGGAAAGGCATGAAAACTGCGACAACATTCGACGCAACGTCCAACGACAACAGCTACATCATAAGTGGCAACGACAGCGCTCGTCGTAGCTGATACTCGTTGCGGTACGAACAATAAAAGGTGTCGATTTTCTATTGCCGTTGCTACTCGTTGCAGGGCGAAAATTTGTGATTCGATAGGGGGCTGTGTACTGTGTTTCTCTGCCTGTCCGTCTCAGCCCATCGTGGTTCGCCAGTGAGCGTGGGGGGCTTCTCTCTGTGCGTGCACAGAACCCGTGTACTCGTGTGTGTTGCTACGAGTTCAGCGATCTTCGCAGACGACGATTCGTTGGTGTCACTCGAATGTTTGAACTAAGCGTTTGCTGCTGTTGCTATTACTGTTACCACTGGTAACACTGGTGGTTGACCACTCCTTGAAGCATAAAGGGGGTTAGGCGAAAATAAACAGTCCTTTATAACTTTTGACCTACCGAACTATAACAGTGGCAAGTGCGGAACTAAAAAACAACGGGAATATCGTTATGTCGACGGTCGCCTACTACAACTAACCAATGCAGGTGTGGTGAAGTGATCAAGTATAGGCATCCGTTATCAAGAGCGTCTCCGTTATACGAGTTTGGCTGGCAGCGAAAAGGAAAAATGATACCACTGCGACGAAACAGAAACTAATCAATGAACTACGAGCAGTTACCTGTAATGGTTCATCGTTATTATTCTAGTAATTAGTACTGTTCATTAGCGCGACTCGCTGTCTTACCGCCAGCGGGGGAGCTTTGGAGAAAAAGAAAAGCAGCGAAAACAGCCAATACCAGTGGGGTGGTTGTTATAGTGAAGATCCATTTCGTTGATTCAACAGTAAAGTGTTCCGAAGAATGTGAATCGTACCTGTGAGTAGGTTCCTAGCGCCAGCGCAAGCTATTCGTAACCTAATCCAGTTTTCTTCACGAGTCCGATTGAGTTCCCTAGCTATTTACTTGATCGTGTGTGTGTACGTTTTGATAAGCAAAAGCTACGACAGCTACACCAAGTGACAACAAAAAAAAATAGTAATAAGAAGTCTTTTCTTCAATATTGATCTTCATTATTTCGTAGTGTGATAGTAGCTTCGTTCTTCGAGCAACAGGAAGATCCTGCTACACATTTGCCTGTGCGATCTTTAGTCGTGTGTGTCAATTGGTAGAGCGAAGATCGCTCACCCGTTGGTCTACTGCCACTGTGACCAGATCCAACAGATCCCATAGCTTCTTCAATATCCAATGTAAGGTGATGGTTAATGAACAGAACACGGTGATAACTACGATCGAAGACCATATTTAGGTTTGCATATGCGCGATCAAGCTGTTAATGGCTTAATGGAAATCAACAGCCGTCGAGGCGGCTAGCTGGCTAGTTACAGCTGATTTCTTGATCAGCTGTGTGATATTCTTCACATCATTTGACTGTTTGTTTTTGTGGCACCTACCAAGCTAGCTCCTTTTGTCCCGGACCCTTCGTCAACGTACCTCTCTTCCGTGCTGGGGATTCTATTGGGATCATAAGCGAATGCTCCACCAGCAAAGGGAGAATAAATGTACATGCGGTACAAACAAATAAAAAAAAAAACAGAAGTTGAAAAATAATCTGCGAAAGCAACAAATCGAGAGAGATCAATCTTCTGTTCAAGTGGTGGACGGACAGGAGGCCGAATTGAAGCAGCTGTTTGTTGGCGACATTTGAAAGTGAGTGTCAATCTCTCCGGCGCTCTGTTGTCGCCGCCGCAGTCTAGTGCGTCCTTAGCAAAACGAACGTTGTACAACGAGTTAGTTGGCAATATATTCTCTTATGTACGGCTTGTTGTAGCGTACTCACGCGATCGCGACCACGCTTAGGGCAAGTTGCGGGCTTAAATGATATAAGCGAAAAAGAAAAGGCCGAAAGAAGGGGAAGAGCCTAGCTTTTGCAAGCCCCTGACATCGATTTAGATGTCTGTGGAGTCGATAGACTCTGTGTGATCAAGAACGGTAAGCATAAACAGCGAATACGAGATAAACAACTGAAAGTACAAAGAAATAGAGCAAAAGAGAGGAGCGAAATAACATTGAAACAATGTGAACAGGAATATACCAATTAAACAATAGCTTCCACAACAACAACGGTTTTGATAAGCAGCTATGACGGTAAGCGACGTCCACAGGACTTGAAGACAAACGTAGCAATCTTCAGCTAATCGTGCGCTTTATTATACGTAGATCGTAAACGGCTTATAATTATAAGTCAATCGATCATTCGTTAATTATCATCGGTTTCGTTGTGCATTTTCATGTTTCGCAGCCGTAACGAAGGAGCCTGTGCCAAGGTCCGACTACATCTCATTAGGATTGACCTAAGGGTGAACTGTAGCATCGAACTTCCATCCACTCTCGTCTGCCCGCCTTCTCTGGAAAAGTATTTTCTGTAATTCCCGGTTGGCGAGCATCCTGAGCTTTGTTGAGTTAACTGAGGTCGATATTGTTTGAATTTAACTAGGAGGGTGACCTGCTAATACTTGAGCCAGGTTGAGCAGCAGGTTCTTGACTATGATTGTTATTAAACGAGCTGTAGCCACAAGTATCAAAGAACAAGGCCGATACCCTGTTGGATAGCCGTTAGAGCGAAGTCGGAAACGTTGAGAATACTGTCAACCATTGGGTGTAAGTTATCCCAGTGGATTTGTACGATCAGATACTTCGTTGCTGGTTGTTTACCGCCTATTGCCTATTATCGGCATCGTTTCTCGTGTTTTTTTCTCATTTTGGCACAGCGGTAACACACGTTCAACTGCTGTTACCCTGGTAAACGCACAAAGTGAAAAGGGATAGACGAAACGAGAATTTTCTAACAACTTAAGACTGCTAAGAAACCTCGGTACCACAAGAAATTTGACGGCAGAAAACGCCAAACGCATATCACAGAATATAACGCTACGTTATCTGACGCACTTCGTAACGGACTAGTCCAGTGGCAGACGAGTTCACCTGCGTACAATAAGCATTAGCGGATGGGCAATCGAGTGGATCATAACTCTGTAAGAAGAGGCAGCTTTAAAGACTTCAGGACTTACACCGATAGCGAGAAATCCATGCAGCAAGGAACGGATGATTCAGGCTCACTTCTATGACAGGCACCGGAAAAAGATCGTCATCATTATCATGATAAACAACAACAAGAACAACAACCGACGAACTCCGCTAGGTAGTGAGCTCCGCTATCTACGTTGAATCTACCTCTCTGTATCCACCGCTCACTGTAGCTTTCTCTCAGCCTTCGATTGCTGTCGCATCAAGGCGATATGTCGCCTCGGTTAAACTATAATTACTTCGGCCTATCGTAGAAATCAAATTCTATAATAGTTAAACTGTGAGTGTGTGCGAGTGAGCAAGTATTAACCACCGCAGCGGCCGTAATCGCCACAGTCGTCCGCCAATCGCTTACTCCTCCGGTAACCGCTGGCTGGTCGCAGGCTGCTCGTCGTTGTGGTCGTCGTCGGCGTCGGCGACATCATCATCGGTAGCGGCAGCTTGCTGCTTTTGCAGCCTTCAATGGTTGGCTAGCGCAGACACAGCAGTGAATAGCGGCCTGCGCCTGCGGGAGTACAGTTGCCGTCACCCGCCAGTCGCCGATTGCAAACGCCCCAGCCAGTAATAGTATCAAGAATTAACAGTTGATAATAATAATAATAGTGTTCGTTGTCGTTGTGAGTGTCATCGTACTTGTGGTAGTACCAAAGCAGTGGCGTGTGCTAGTGTTGGTAACAGCCATTACCGCAGTCGTACGCTAGAACCAGCTTGTAATACGCTTCCGCCGCTACTGGCTCCCGTTTACTCGATCGCTCGGCCGCGTTCGGTGTCGTCGTCACTGGCGCCGAGGTTGTCCACCAGCAACAGCCGCTGTTCTTGCTGCCGCCATAGCGGCAATACTGGCTCACTATTACTGTCTATGTCGATATTACTTTGCAATAGGCGCTGTCTCTCTTCACCCTTGCATTTCGATCGAGAGCGTTCAGCTGCTGCGAGTTAGGCTACTGTCACTGCAGCACTAGGACGAGCAAAGCGTCGATACCGTGCCATACCATACAATTCCGTACTATAGAAGAGAATTTGCTTTGGCAAACGGCTTTGCGGCAGTAGATGTGTGTGAATGATCACTGGTGAGCCTGCGGTGAGTCGAGTGAGCTGCGAAAACCTACAAGACACTGCGGATACAGGTGTAGCACTGTTATTGGAAGTAGTAATCGTAGTATGGGAGCGATAGAAGCAACTGCCACTTCCGTCAAAACAACAACAACAACAGCAGCAGCAACAACAACAACAACAGGAAGCACTGAAGTTGGAAGAACAACGAGTGTGTGATGGCGACGTTGAAGCAAAGACGCACGTCAAGAGGAAAAGTACACGCGTTCGTGAATGAGTTTCGTATGTAAGCAGACTACGTGCGTTCGGCTACGGTTAGTAAATGTACAGACGCATACGTTAGGTGACGGTAGCAACAACATCATCGACGACATTCGAGAGCGTCGGTTGCATGGGAAGAAAACGAAGAAGGTACAGAATATGGAAACGATTAACGGAGTGCCATATTGTGCGCGCGTGCCGTGATAAACGATAAACGTTCAGTCGTAGAAGCATCACCGGCCGAACTTATTTATGGCAAGGTCCTAATTATTAGCTAGCTAAGCAGATATCGCGGCAGTCACGTATATTGAAGGAGAGTAAATGGAAGCAAATCAACCGGATGCGAATAAACATCGTCCGCATAATACCATTAAAAGAAATCATGATCATTTTAATTACTACAACGACGGATGAACTTCTCTAATCTAACGCCTTTTACTAAGTTAACTAAAGTGGAACTAGCCCACTGAACCATTGCACATAGATCAACAAAATGTCAGATCGACATTAGGCGTTCGGCAGCATTCACTCATTGCGTTATACTGTCTCGCGAGGAACCTACGCATAGAAAACAACAACAAAGAGGTTGATGCCAATCACAACAACGAACGATTTCCGAGATCAATGAAGTACGTATCCACTTCGACTTAACGAGAGGCAGACGCGTAGGATCAGAGTGGGCTCCCACAGACCATTTCAGGGGACGAGACACTCGACCCAGCTCGAGACGTCAACAACGAGCAGCATCTGACCAAACGAGACTGACCTGCCTAGGTGCGGTTATTGATGCTGGTAGTATTGTTATTGTTTTTGTAGTTGTCGTTATTGTCGTTCATTTGCACGTCTACAACGCGCCAAAAAGGTCAGCAGTAGCAGAAAAATCCAAAATTAACCGTTGGAAAACAGGAATCGATATAGAACTGCGTTTTGTTACCGCGCAGTCGTTCCCGCGGGCTTTGATTCAGTGTGAGAGCAGGCTTTTTGTTGTTGTTGTTATTAATATTACCATTGTCTGCGTCTTGGCATGCTCGTTGTACCCAGCTGTATACCTTCTCAGCTGCACCAATATACCAGTTACGGCTGACTTGTTTATTGTGGTTGAGTGTCGCCCGCGTGACACTGCAAGTGCGTGGTTAGACACCTTCTTCGCGCGATAAATCCGAAAAGAAACAAAAGCTATGGATGCATTTCCGAGTGAGGTAGCAACGTAAAAGCAATCAAACGCAAGACCAGCGGCTGTTGTAACGTGAAGGAAGGCAAATCTTAACAGTGCGTTCGATTTAGTCGGCAGACTAATCATTGATTGATTGACCCTTGGCTGATGATAATTGTATTTCTCAGTCAGCAATTGACGCATATCGAATTATGTGGCAGTACTTCGTTAGCATCGATCGCCAGGCGGTACACAGTGACTGAAATTGTTTACCCCTGTCACTGGTGGATGCAGTGAACAACAATAACAACAGCAACGGCAGCAAGGAAAGTACAGAAAATCAATAATTAATAGAAGTAACGAGAAGACGAGAAAAAAAGCGCGCGCTTGGGGTGTTAGCAAGGTAAACAAGACCAGATTCAGTGCCGAATAAGACAAAATGCGTCGCGGCATTCACGGTGAGTGTGTGTATGTGTGTGTGTGTGTGTGTGTATATATCGAGAAGTAACCGACTCCTCTGTATGAGAGAAATTCGGAGAAACGTGAAGCGTCGACGCTGCATCGTACACACAACTGTTTATGTCTAACGAACAGCAACAGCGGCAATAACAAGGGTGACACCTCACCTATTCAAGCACAACCATTACGACAGCCACTCCCACATCAGTAACGTCTGAGCACGATACACACCAGTTAATATTAGTATTTAGAGGCGCGATTTGACGGGGCTAGTCGACAAGAATAAATTGAACGACATTAGAAACCGGTGCTAATACGAAGCGACGGCAGAATCCCAGCAAGCACGGTGGAGTGCCGCATATTATTGTGAAAGTGAATGTGATTGACTTCGAATCTGTCTTTGGCGTTGGCGTACATGGACAGTGTGTGATTCTCTAATAGTGCATTGTCACAACCGACAAATTGTGGAGGCCAGCTGATCCAAGGGATTAGGGGTTTATTGTGTGGTTGCACTAGTGCTCCCATGTGCCGGTACAAACGGTCGTGAAGTGTCGTGTGTCATTGAAGTGCCGAGGAAAAAGTGAAGTAAAGTGTGTGGTCAAGCCAACGAAGCAGTGAAGATTCGACCGAACAGAAACGAGAACGAAGCACGAGCTAAAGTTAAGTCGACTCTGAGTGTTAGATCGACAGTTGAAGCTTGACCTACCGGTTGCGTTATTGCCAGGAGTTTGGCATGCCGTTGTTACGGTAGGATGTGACCATAGGCTACTACTGAACGGTCCGCGGGCTCCATGGCGGGACGGCTCAGCAATACAACGTAAGTCATATTTACATTTCAACACCGGACCTGTCTATATACTAACATTTTTACGCCCCTGATGACGTACATAATAAAGCTACCAGCAAATTTGGAGATAATGAACATTTACAACAGTGTGGCAAACAGTTAGAACGCACACAAACAATTAATTAGCTACCGTTCGAGACGCCAGCATACATCCCATCGAACGCTACTCCTTAAACGACCTGTCGAACTTTTGATACGAAGTTGACACCATATTAGAACGAAAACGATCTTAGTTACTAATAGATTCATTTGACCGGTTATGATCAAAAAGATGAACCCGAAGGATTACCCAAGTTGTGCTTCTACAGATGTACATTGTCTTATAACGTACGTCTTGACTATGGCAAAATCATGCCACATGGTATTATTTTGTGCTCAGAAGGGATGTGACATGACCTACGAAGGCGTATGACCGCATTGCGCCTGAAAACCTCAGTGGAGATATTTTCGAACAAAACTGTTCAAGTGAATTCTTCGCAAAAATGAAAGCTGGAAGACACCAAAGGAAGAATCCGAATTGATTTGATGTTCTGGTAATTAAATGGGCGACAAAGTGATTTCACTTTGGTTAGTACTAGATAATTTGATTGCTAGGAAAGTTGTTTACTTTCACACACGTGACCTGAATAACTTGAATTGAATTTTTGTGTTTAGTTCCCGTGTATGAAAAATTGCTCACAAATTTGAGGAAATTTTGTCTGTGGAGCAACAATCACAGCATGACCATATTAGCTGGTCAGAAATGCTATCGGTCCTGAATGCAGCTGCAAACATATTAGTCGTCTATATCATGGCAACCTCTTTGTCTTTGGTGATGATCTTAGACTTTTGGACGATCCGTTTACCTAGTTCGAGATGCAATTTATGCACGGGCAATTTCAGATTGTATCGTATGCAGGTCACTGCCTATAGGTAAACCTCGACAGATTGCTCCGTTCTATATAAGCGTTATAAATAAAGATAAAGAACTTGGCCTTAGAGCATGATCACCTCATGATCAATGTAAAACTGGTCATTAGCTGGTATGTGTCGATTCGTGTTAACGACAAATTAACAGATGCTTTGCAGAAAACTCACGAATCACTCATCGAAACACATTTATTTTGACGTTTAACCACTTTAAGGTTGGCAGGATTTGTACGAAAAAGAACGTATCTTGGGTCGAAATAAACGGAAATGCAGATGGGTTTAACGAGCAACACTCGTGAACATGCAAGGCGTGAACGAGACAGCTATGCACTCGCTTAGAGAATTGCAGTATTCAAAGGATGTTGAATTTCTGACGTACTCGCATTATTCTATAGAACGTATAGATTATAGTGGTCTTGCTATTAACATTTGTTAATGCAGGACAGCTGTGCGAGAAGGCAAGATTCAATGAGGCGCCAGTGATCCCAGGAGGTATTGTGCCAAAGTTCACCATAATGTGACTAATGCATGAGTTAGTGTCTGCATGAATTTAGTTACAAAATGGGTTATAATAAAAGGGGTTCATAGGCTGGTAGCGCCCCAGTAGCTTGACGGCATATGAGATATTTGAGTTAAGATAAAGCGAATCAGTGACCAATTGATATGCAAACCTGAATAGTTAATGAGCAAGGACGTTACAAATAATCAAAGCGACGTTTTACGTACATCGTTTAAAGTGAATTGCTCCCGATTAGTACAGCTCAACTGCCGTTTTCAAGAACCCGTAAGGAACTTCATATGCTCTAATTGTCAATCGTTTGAGAAGCTGTTTTCCTTTTCTCGTAAAATTGACAATGCTCTTGCTTAAAGAGGCTGACTTTCAGTTACTACAGGGGGCATAACGCGCCATTTTGAAGGGACTATTTAAAAAATGTCTACATTAGGATGTGACCGACAAAGCAATAGCTTGACTAATCTAACAGGTTAGTGGCTTAAGTTGGGAAAGTGCGCTGGAAACCGCGCCGAAGTCTTTCAGATAAAAGCTGATCCTCATATTGTTAGTTTTGCCCACACAAAAGCTGTTTGGGCGTCTATCAACTTTACGTTTCGATTTACTGACTTAGTTCTTCTGACCATTTGTAATAGCAAGGCAACCACACAGCATTATACCACAACAGTTAGTTAGGAAGACTGGCCATATAATTGATAATGCAGTTTCTCTGTGCTGGTAACATAAATCTATAGTTTTATGAACACGACTAGAAATTATCTATAAATATTAATAATGAAACTAAATTTAACCTAATCTTTCTAAAAAACTGACGTGCGTATTTTTTTAAGTTTTTTTTTAAATTAAGACTTTTGCTCTATCAGCGTTTCCTCATGCACTTTTATCCCATTCATCGTATTGAGCGCACATCGCTTGTAAGTCGCAAATGATCCGTGGAACTTTGAATTAGTTGCATTGCATCCAATATATAAGAGTATTGAATGAAGCTCTCATTTAGTAGACCGCTCCAGTTGATATAACCCTAACGTAATGCCTCCAAGAGCCAGTCATACCCAGTAAATATAGTCGTTTACAGACTCCGTTGCTACTTTATACTCAACAATGATTTGTTACCTATGTAGCATGTTGACAGTAATTTAGCCAGAATTAAACCGAGCTAACTATGTTCATCGGAAACACTTATTGCGCATTGACAGATCTATTACCGTGATAACTAATTTAAACTATTTAGACAAAAGCCGTTCGATAAACAGTGCTTTTATTAACTGCGATTACTTGTACCTCGAGTCACATGGTTATTTTTTCATCATGCTTTATTGGCCACAGCTGAACCATCGATGTACGGTCGTGACAAATTTTTAAATTGATAATTAGTCGATGTAAAAAAACCGAAAGCTCAAAAAAAATGGAAGAGGTAAAAGAAAACGTGAAGAGTCGGTAAAAAAAACTAACGACTGTGAGCAGTATAGACGACTCCATGAGCATGAGATGTTTTAAACTCAAAAAAAGCCTCTAGGCAGCATCGGCATAAAAAATCGATAAGTTTATAATCCCGGCCAAAATTCATCTGACGCGAAAACACTAGACAACAACTGCAACAAAAAAGTAACAACAAAAAATACTGCCAAAACGAAGCCCCTATTTGATTACATTAATTTTTTTGGCTTTACGCTAAACAGCTAAGCTGACTTCCTTCTACTGAAAAAAATAATGAATCAACAGATATTTGCTGCGATAACATGCTGAAATGTGTTTATCTCAAATGGTCACTTCTGAATGATACAAGCAATTATTAGGTTAATAATTATTAACCATTGTCCATAAATGGAACCAAAGAATATAGAACAAAAAATCAATTGCAAACAAATTGGCTTCCATGACTCAATAGTAGAGTTTTTTTTTTTTTTTTTTTTATATAGTTTTAGGATTATGTCTGCTGCTTTTTTGGAATAATCATGTTTCTGTTATTTGAGCCCCAAACGTTTTATTTATCCGTGAAAGGTACAACACACCTAGTTCTTATGCTATACATTTGCTACAATTCCTATTGTAGCAGAAAACATGTAGTGTTGTCTTCCAACGTCAAGCATGTCAAAAAATTGAGACTAACTAGTTTGAATTTCGGTTACGTTTTTCTTTGATTTTTCAGCTGGTTATTTTTCTAGCACGGGGTATGTCATAACAAAGCGTTTATAATGCTAAAATTCAGAATTACCATTGTTTTATTTATTATTGCCGTTAATTATACTTGAAAGCTGACGTTGCGTAAGCCGCGAGTGGGCCAACGCTCCGCACAACATGCTTGGATGAAGAAAAGGACCATCTCAGACCATTTGTCGAAAAGATGATAAACGTGACAAAATGGTTAGAGTCAGCATATTGTTGCTCACTGTATTCATCACAGGCATGCGTTCTATTATATTTTATATATTTTACGTAAAGATGTCCACGGGAATATGTATGTTTTCAATGTTGCCAGTAATATAAACTTGAAACGTTGATTAACAAAAGATCGATAATTTCCAATTGCTATTTTACATCTTACGGAGCATCAAATTAAGGTAGTAGGTTCCGGGGTCAGCAGAAAATTGGAACGCATTTTCCTATTTCTGGCCGATATCTACGATTAAGGAGGACAAGTACCTATAAAGTAATATTTCTGAGGATAAGCTGAATGGTTTTATTTACCGTTATGATTTCATCTGAACTTTAACTTTTTCTCTAGTTGTTGGCCTTTGTTGTTCTGCGCAGGCAAAGTTGACCCTGCTTCTGTGAGTTTCTATATGACGATATTCGCTGTAAGTGAGCTTGCATAGGTTCGCTGTATTCTTCGAAGAAGGTCCGTCCCAAGAAAGATAAGCAGCGTTGCCTGCGTTCAAGCGCAATTGCAAAGAAAAACGAATATGTAACTAGACAGGGCCAAACTATATCATGTTTACCACAAACCTAGAAATACTTTCCACCCGATGGTTGCAGAGGTTATTGTATCCCTTATGCAATACTCCTGCTGAAACAACTCAGCAGAGATAGTTGATTCAAGCCCCGCCAATGAACCACACAGAAAGCGTGATCAAATAAAGACACAATTGATTTAACTCTTTCTACGCGCTACTTCACTATGTGCTTGCGGCAGTTGATAAAGCTGAAGTCGCTGCCATCTCTCAATAATGTCAATTAGCCTCCATATCCGTATTTTGCGCCCCAGCAACAATCCATCTATTCGTGGTGACGAATGGTCTAACATCATCAACAATCGAACAGTCATGCGAATATCAGTTGCCAGGTATTTCTCTTTCTTTACCTCACATACTTTCCTTTTCGCTCCCACTGACGATCACCAATTCTCTATAGACAATTTAACGCTGTGGTCTTTCCTCCCCCACGGTATGTCCCGGCGTTCCATCGCCTGTATTAAATTCTCCTTGCAGTTTTCTTCTTTTTTGTTGCTGTCCCCCCGAAGCGCCTTATAATAGCTTGCATACACAGCACAGGTAGTAAGCGCAGTAAAAGCCGAACAGTTTGTTGCCGCACACAGATCCCTCCAACTTAT